ACTGGCCAGGCACGGTGGCTTACGCCTGTAATCCCAGCACTTTGGGAGGCCAAGGCAGGTGGATCACAATGTCAGGAGTTCGAGACCAACCTGACCAACGTGGTAAAACCCCGTCTCTACTAAAAATATAAAAATTAGCTGGGCATGGTGGCAGGCATCTGTAATCCCAGCAATTCAGAAGGCTGAGGCAGGAGAATTGCTTGAACCTGGGAGGCGGAGGTTGCAGTGAGCCGAGATTGCACCACTGCACTCCAGCCTGGGCGACAGAACAAGACTCTGTCTTGGGGAGGAAAAAAAAAAAAGCCAATACCAAGCACTGGTGAGGATGTGGGGAAACTAGATTTCGCATCCATTGCTAGTGGGAATGTAAAATGGTACTGTGGTCAAGTAATTTCAATGACAACTAATATTTGAATCATAAATAATGTCAAGCTGCTTTATATACTTCTTGTGCTGTCAAAAGTTAAACAAGAAGTGAGATCTCCACTTGAAGTCAGGAGTTTGAGACCAGCCTGGGCAAAATGACATCTCTACTAAAAATACAAAAATTAGTCGGGCGTGGTGGTGGGTACTTGTAATCATAGCTACTTGGGAGGCTGAGGCAAGAGAATTGCTGAAACCTGGGAGGCGGAGCTTGCAGTGAGCCAAGATTGCACCACTGCACTCCAGCCTGGGTGACAGCAAAATGCCGTCTCAAAAAAAAAAAAAAAAAAAAAGTGAGCTCTCCGTTCCAATACAAATTTACAGTGGATGTATTTTCAAACCGCAGTTATAGTTCTAGCAGTGATTTTTAGGCCTCAATGATATACGAAGCCAATTTCCATATTTCAAGATCTATGTATTTTGGAATTAGTAGCAATGGTTGTATAGTATTGGGAATATAATTAATGCCTCTGAATTCTATACACTTAAAAATGGCTAAAATGCCAAATTTTATGTTATATATATTTTACCATGTAGAAATAATCCATTTAACTGCGGTATTTGGTAGCTTCCACATAACTTTCCATTGAAAGTGATTAATCTGCAGTGTAATAACATGGTAAAGGTAAATGTCAAGAGAGGACTCTAATATAATTCTATAAAG